GGGGCTGGAAAGTCTGAACAAGGGGAGGAGGATAAAAATGCCAGGTGTTGCAGCACATGAAGTCACAAAAGATGTGCACAGAACCAGTTGTGAGATAAAGGTCAGGGAGTTTCAGAACCAAATCTGTGAATGTCGGGTTTGTTCAAATGCTGATGTTACGAGCATACATGATAGCTTCAGTGAGCTCTGCAGGGCTGGAGTATCTGCGAATGCCACATTTAACAGGACTGGAGAGAGGCTGGGTGCACACAACTCAAGGGGTGCTGAGGGCTGGTCAGACCCAACGAAGTGGGTGGATGTCGTGATCAGTGGTTTAATATCAGGAATATGTGTGTAGTTCAAGGAAGTGGTTGAAATCAGGCAGGCAGAAATCTGAAGGTTAATCAAGAGAGGCAGCAGGTCGAAGGTCAGATAACAGTCAGGAGCCAGGGACTTTCCAGGAACTAAAGGGCCAGGCCAGATGAGGCAAGGCAGTAAGTCAGCAGGAAAGTGAGTGAACAGCTAGCAGACTGGACCACACAACAGAGTGAGAACCAGACAAGGAGACTGGACAACGCCCAGCTGAACGCTAAATTGACTCTTGGTCATCCCAGCCAGGAAGCCGCTACTGACATTTCTTACTAGAGCAGAAGCTAACTATTGTGGCAGTGGGGTTTCACGGGAGACAGCAAAAAGATGAAGTGCTGGTGCTTGAGTCAAAGGGCAGCTGGAAGGGCGGATGCTGATCACAGCCCATCCTTCTCTCTCCTGGCATGCGCAGTTTCTGTTTCTCTAAGGGAGATCCCAGGGCTAAGTGAGTTTGGTTTTGTTCCTGGGTGCCACTGGTGGCTCCAAGGAATGTCTTCCTTTTCTTAAGAGGTGTCAAGAATCTTCATCTGGGGAAATAGTACCCCAAGCTGATTTGGTTTGAAAAAGAATATGGGCCAGGTGCAGTGGCTCACGCCTGTAATCCCAGCACTTTGGGAGGCTGAGGCGGGCGGATCACGAGGTCAGGAGATTGAGACCATCCTGGCTAACACAGTGAAACCCCGTCTCTACTAAAAATACAAAAAATTAGCCAGGCGTGGTGGCGGGCGCCTGTAGTCCCAGCTACTCGGGAGGCTGAGGCAGGAGAATGGCGGGAACCCGGGAGGCGGAGCTTGCAGTGAGCCAAGATTGCGCCACTGCACTCCAGCCTGGGCGACGGAGCGAGACTCCGTCTCAAGGAAAAAAAAAAAAAGAAAAGAAAAGAAAAGAAAAAGAATATGGACAGAGTCTTGGATTACTCATTTACTAAGTTTTTTTATTTTGAAAATTTTCAAACCTACAGAAAAGCTTCAAGAATGGTAGAACAAACTTCTACAGAAACGTCAACAGATACTTAACCAAAAATACGTCCTATTTGTCCAAACCTCTTGCCAGATTGTAATATCAGAGGAACTGGAGAATCCCGAAATCTAGGACTCAGGGAAATCATTAATGGCAGATTCTGAGAAAAAGAAGCTTTTGCTGGGTTCAGGGGATAGAATAGGAGCTGCTGCTACTGCTGCCTTTTTTTTTTTTTCTCACTCTGTCACCCAGGCTGGAGTGCAGTGGCAAGATCTCAGCTCACTGCAACCTCTGCCCTCCGAGTTCAAGCGATTCTCCTGCCTCAGCCTCCCAAGTAACTGGGATTACAGGCGCCTGCCACCACGCCCAGCTAATTTTTTGTATTTTTAGTAGAGACGGGTTTTCACCCTCTTGACCAGGCTGAGTCTTGAACTCCTGACCTTGTGATCCACCCCCCTCGGCCTCCCAAAGTGCTGGGATTATAGGCACGAGCCACCGCGCCTGGCCAGGAGCTGCTTCTTATATTGCAGGATGTAGGTTTCCAGGATGCTGGGGGTCCAAGAAGGGCTTCAGGAAAACAGGCGCATGGGTTTCCTGAGGCTTTAGGAGATGGAGTAGACAGGTGTTCTCAAGTTCATGATACAGAAGGAGTAGACTTTACAGACATCCAGGGGCCAGGGGCCCCAGAAGGGATGAGTCTTTTCTTTTTCTTTCTTTTTCTTTCTTTTTTTTTTTTTTTTGAGACAGAGTCTCACTCTGTCACCCAGGCTGGAGTGCAATGGCGTGATCTTGGCTCACTGCAGCCTCTGCCTCCCAGGTTCCCAGCGAATCTCCTGCCCCAGCCCTCCGAGTAATTGGGATTACAGGCCTGTGCCACCAAGCCCAGCTAATTCTTGTATTTTTAGTAGAGATGGGGTTTCACCATGTTGGCCAGGATGGTCTCAAACTCCTGACCTCAGGTGATCGCCTGCTGCGGCCCCTCAAAGTGCTGGGATTATAGGCATGAGTCATTGCGCCTGGCTGGGATGAGTCTTTTCAACCAAAAGGAGTGATTTTCAGAGATCAGATACACGTCTGGTAGAGGAGAGTGCAGCCGAATGTAGGAATGTGGGTCCTCAATCTTCCTAGCAATGTTCCTTTAATGACTTGTAGAAGCCTCCAAACCCACAATTCCCCCTTTGCAGCAGATGACTTTGCGTCCTACTTCATAGAGAAAATAAACGCTATTAAAGAGACACTATTAGAGCAGTCTAAACAAAACTGCATTTACAGGCAGCTAAAATGGGAGAAGCATGCCTTTTCCTCTGTAAGGGTTTAGTTCCATGCCGTCGACCTCACTGGGGAGACTGCTCCATATATGATCCATTTCTCCTCCTCTTTCTTTTTTCTTTCTTTCTCTTTCCCTCTCTCTCTCTCTTTCTCCTTTCCTTTCCTTTCCTTTCCTTTCCATTCCTTTCTTTTCTTTCTTTATTTTCTCTCTCTCTCTCTTTCTCTTTCCCTCTCTCTCTCTTTCTCCTCTCCTCTCCTTTCCTTTCCTTTCCTTTCCTTTCCTTTCCTTTCCTTTCCTTTCCTTTCCTTTCCATTCCTTTCTTTTCTTTCTTTCTTTTTTCTCTCTCTCTCTCTTTCTCTTTCTCTCTTTCTTTCTTTCTTGACAGGGTCTCACTCCCAATGCCCAGGCTGGAGTGCCTTGGTGCAGTCTTGGCTTACTGCAGCCTCAATCTTTTGTGCTCAAGAGATCCTCCCATCTCAGCTTCCGAAGTAGCTGGGTTATAGGCGCCCACAACCACGCCTGGATAATTTTTGCATTTTTACTACAGGGGGTTTCACCATATTGCCCAGGTTGGTCTCAAACTCCCGAGCTCAAGTAATCTGCCCCCCTTGGTCTCCCAAAGTGCTGGGATTACAGGTGTGAGCCAGTGTGCCCAGCCTCCTCCTGTATCTTTCATCTCTACCTCTTCGCCTTATTGACTTGAGGGATTAAATATGCTAATTTTTTCTATCCTAAAAAATTTTTTCCCATCGTACCCCCTGCAGGTAGAAGTTTCAACAACAGTAAAAACCTTAGACATCTGCATTCTCAGAGATCCCGAAAGTCTACATCTAGGAACTTATTGAAAGGAAATCAGCATTGTAGATACTTTAAAGATCTGAAATACAATGATGTTCTTTGGTGATATGGTTTGGCTGTGTCCCCACCAAAATCTCATCTTGAATTGTAGTTCCCATAATCCCCACGTGTTGTGGGAGGGACTAGGTGAGATAACTGAATCATGAGATCGGCTTCCCCCATCCTGCTCTCACGATAGTGAGTTCTGATGATATGTGATGGTTTTATAAGGGGTTTTTACCCCTTTTGCTCGGCACTTCTCCTTCCTGCCACCATGTGAAGGACGTGTTTGTTTCCCCTTCCACCACAATTGTAAGTTTCCTGAGGCCTTCCCAGCCCTGCTGAACTGTGAGTCAATTAAACCTCTTTCCTTTATAGATTACTCAGTCTTGCGTATGTCTTTATAAGCAGTGTGAGAATGGGCTAACACAATAGGAAATAACACAAATGTCCAATGAATGTGGATTGACTAAATAATGGTGCACCCATACAGCTGAATACAATGCAGCCACTAAATAGTATGTTTCAAAGGAATGGCATGGAAGTAAGCTGACATCTTGTTAAGTGAAAAGCTAGTTATTAAACAGTTTGCAGTAGGTCAGACATTGTGGCTCACATCTGTAATCCCAGCACTTTGGGAGGCCGAGGAGGGTGGGTCATTCTGAGGTCGGGAGTTTGAGACCAGCCTGGCCAACATGGTGAAACCCCATCTCTACTAAAAATACAAAACTTAGCTGGGCATGCTGGTGTGCCCCTGTAATCCTAGCCACCCTGAAGGCTGAGGCAGGAGGATCGCTTGAGCCTGGGAGGCGGAGGTTGCAGTGAGCCGAGATCACGCCCTTGCACTCCAGCCTGGGTGACAGAGTGAGACTCTGTCTCAAAAACTACCACCACAACAAAAACCAGTTTGACTCCATATTCTAGGACATAAGGACACACATAAAAAATAGTTTACTAATTTAGGGTTGGTGAGTATGGTTAGAATTAAAAAAAAAAAAAATTCTGTTTGGTTGCTTGAGTCCCACCCACTGTAGTAGCAGGAAACCCAGCCTTTCTGTATTGTGGTCCCTGGTATCCTTTCCTTCTTCCTCCCTCCTCCCTTCTTTTTCCTTTCTCTCCTTGCATGGATTGACCAAGAGCCTTGAGCTTGCCTGGGTTCAAATCCCACATTCTAGCTGTGCGTGACCCTAAGCTCGTTTTTGGGCTCCTCATCTGTAAAATAGGACCTCTCTTTTAGGACTGTTGTCCTAGAAGATTAATGAAATAATACATGTAAGAACTTAGGACAGTGCCTGCAACATAGCTATCTCTGGAAGTTGTTGTTGTTATTATTATTACATAATGCTATCACTGTTGATGTGGTTTGTCTCTGTGTCCCCACCCAAACCTCACCTCTAATTGTAATCCCCACATGTTGAGGGAGGGCCCTGTAATTCCCATGTGTTGAGGGAGGGAGGTGACTGGATCTTGGGGACGATTCCCCCATGCTGTTCTCATGATAGTGAGTTCTCATGAGAGCTGACTGTTTTAAAGTGTGGCACTTCCTCTTTTTTGCATGCCCTCTCTCTCCTGTCACCTTGTGAAGATGATGCCTGCTTCCCCTTCCGCCATAACTGTAAGCTTCCTGAGGCCTCCCCTGCCGTGTGGAACTGTGAGTCAATTAAACTTCTTTCCTTTATAAATTACCCAGTCTTGGGGATTTCTTTGTAGCAGTGTGAGAACAGACTAATACAATTGTTATCAGCTGAATTGTCTCCCCAAAATTCATATACTGAAGTCCTGACCGCTGGTACGTCAGAATGCAACTGTATGTGGAGATACGGCCTTCAAAAAGGTAATTAAGTTAACATGAGGTCAGATGAGTAGACCCTAATCCAATGGGACTGGTGTCTTCATACGAAGAAGAGATTAGGGCACAGACATGCACAGAGGGACGACCGTGTGAGGACGCAGGGAGAGCGGCCATCTATAAGCCAAAGGGCCTCACAAGGCTCTGCCCATGCCTTGGTCTCTGATTTCTATCCTTCAGAACTGCGAGGATATGTGCCTCTGTTGGTTAAGCCCCTCCCCCAACACCCGTCTGTGGTAACTTGCTAGGCCACCCTCGCCGACAAACACAATATTATCACAGAGTAAAGAAGCGGCCAAACTGCATTTCAAACTGGCAGGATTCTCCCTCCTGCACACTCAAGATGACGGTTTCCAAATAATTTGAGGTCAGGAGTTCGAGACCAGCCTGGCCGACATGGTCAAACCCCGTTTCTACTAAAAATACAAAATTAGCGGGGCACGGTGGTGCACGCCTGTAATCTCAGCTACCCGAGAGGCTGAGGCAGAAGAATTGCTTGAACCCGGGAGGCAGAGTTGCAGCCAAGATCACGCCATTGCACTCCAGCCTGAGCGACAAGAGCAAAATGGCGTCTCAAAAAAAAAAAAAAAAGAGAAAAGAAAGACAAAAACAAAAACAAAAAACACAAAAAACCCGTCGTCGGAACATAAATGAAGATACAGTAGTTCTTAGTTTGGTGGGATCGTGGGCAAACTTCAGGAACATTACCTTGACTTTTGATTTAATCTCATTATGCTCTATTTTCAGTGAACTCTTTTTAAAGAGTACCCTGGGCTGATGTATGGCCAGCTAGTTTTTCAGGCTCCTGCCCTGTACCTGTAGACACGCAGATTGCTGTTGCAAGGGTGATCTGTGCCGTTTCTTGCTACTTCCTCATCCCTTCCACTTTCATTTACTTTTTAAAAAAATTAGGCCGGGCATGGTGGCTCATGCCTGTAATTCCCAGCACTTTGGGAGGTCGAGGCGGGTGGATCACCTGAGGTCAGGAGTTTGAGACCAGCCTGGCCAACATAGTGAAACCTCGTCTGTACTAAAAATACAAAAATTAGCTGGACATGGTGGCGGGTGCCTGTAATCCTAGCTACTCAGGAGGCTAAGGCACGAGAATTGCTTGAACCTGGGAGGCAGGGGTTGCAGTGAGCTGAGATCATGTCACTGCACTCCAGCCTGGGTGACAGAGTGAGACTTTGTCTCAAAAAAAAAAAAAAACAAAAATTAATTTTTTTTTTTCTTTAGAGACAGTATTTCACTGTGTTGCAGAGGCTGGACTCAAAGTCCTGGGCTCAAGTGATCCTCCTGCCTCAGCCTCCCGAGTAGCTAGGATTAACACACACAAGCCAACATGCTTGGCCATTTACTTTTTAAAAAACTAATTTATTAGGCCAGGCACGGTAGCTCACACCTCTAATTCCAGCACTTTGAGAAGCCGAAGCAGGCTGATCACCTGAGGTCAGGAGTTCGAGATCAGCCTGGCCAACATGGTGAAACCCCATCTCTACTAAAAATACAAAAAATAGCTGGGCGTGGTGGTGGGTGCCTGTAATCTCAGCTACTCAGGAGGGTGAGGCAGGAGAATCATTTGAATCCAGGAGGCGGAGGTTGCAGTGAGCCGAGATCGCACTATCACACTCCAGCCTGGGTGACAGAGTGGGACTCTGTCTCAAAAAAAAAAAAAAAAAAAAAAAATCACTAATATATTTTTACTGAGGTGATAGTCACAACATTAAATCAACCATTTGTAAGTGAACAATTCAGTGGCATTTGGCACATTCACAGTGTTGTCCAATCACCACATCTGTCTAGTTCCAAACATTTTTATCACCCTAAAAGGAAACCCTGTATCCATTAAGCAATTACTCCCCATTCCTTCCTCCCCTCAGCCCCGGGCAACCATCCGTCTGCATTCTGTCTCTTTGAATTTACTGACTCTGTGTGTTTTATATAAATGGAATCATACAATGTGTGACCTTTGGTGACAGGCTTCCTTCACTCAGGATAATGTTTTGAGTTTCAGGTGCACTGGACCATGTACCACTACTTCATTCCTTTTCATGGCCAAATAATATTCTATCACATGGATATGCCATGTTTTGTTCATCATTCATCAGGTGATGGACATTTGGGTTGTTTCTACCATCTGGCTGTAGTGAATAATGCTGCTATGAATATGCAGGTACAAGTATTTGTTTTAATTCCTGCTTTCAATTCTTTTGAGTTTATACCTACAAGTGGAATTGCTAGGTCATGTGATAATTCTATGTATTTATTTATTATTATTTTTTGACACAGAGTCCTGCTCTGTCACCCAGGCAGGAGTGCAGTGGCACAATCTCAGCTCACTGAAACCTCCGCCTCCCAGGTACAAGTGATTCTCCTGTCCCAGCCTCCCGAGTAGCTGGGATTACAGGTACACACCACCATGCCTGGCTAATTTTTGTATTTTTAGTAGAGACGGGGTTTCACCATGTTGACCAAGCTGGTCTCGAACTCCTGACCTCAGGTGATCTGCCCACCTTGGCTTCCCAAAGTGCTGGGATTACAGGCATGAGCCACTGCGCCCGGCCTGTATTTACTTATTTCTTTTTAAACTTAGGAATGCTTATTAACTTTTTCTTTTTCATTTTCTTTTGTGTTTGTCTTTTCCACTTTTAGTGAGGTATAATTGCCCCCAAAAATTATATATGGTGTCCTGTGAGATGTTTTGATCTATGTGTACACCGTGAAATAATTATCATAATCAAGCTAATTAGAAATCCGTCTCCTTTTGGAATTCACTTTCATTGAAGAAGTAATACATACTGGTGTGAATAATTCGAATAGAAGAAAATGTAATATGGGAAAAGGAAATCTGTCTCCCACTTTGATCTCCACCTTGTTGAGAAGTAACCACTGGTTCCAGGGTTAACAGTTTCCTTCCATACAGTTAGTTTGTCTGTCTTTCTCTTTCTTTCTTTCTCTTTCTTTCTTTCTTCTTCCTTTCTTTCCTCTCTCTCTTTCTCTCTCTCTCTCTCTTTTTTTCTTTCTTTCTTTCTTTTTTTTTTTTTGAGATGGAGATTTGCTTTTGTCTTCCAGGCTGGAGTACAATAGCACTCCACATCTTGGCTCACTGCAACCTCTGCCTCCCAGGTTCAAGCGATTCTCCTGCCTCAGCCTCCCAAGCGCCTGGGATTACAGGCATGTGCCACCACGCCCGGCTAATTTTTGTGTTTTTAGTAGAGATGGGGTTTCACCATGTTGGTCAGGCTGGTGTCGAACTCCTGACCTCCAGTGATCTGCCTGCCTCGGCCTCCCAAAGTGCTGGGATTACAGGCGTGACCCCCTGGACCTGGCCCTTCCATACATTTTCTATGTGCATAAAATCTCTATCACCCTTCCGTGTTGTATATAACTTGGAGCAATGGTGTTCGCTGATGTGCAATCTATTTCTTTTGAGCACAGTTTAATCTGTGGGCGGTCTGCAGCTAGAAGGAGCAGGCCCCAAGCAGCAAGGGTGGTGAATTGCTGGTGCTGTGTCAGTTTCTTCTCTCTTCTCTCCCTCACCTGTGTGTTGGTCTGGGCGTGATGGCAGCTTGCCCTGCTCTCTGCACAGCCCTGCCCTGAACACCAGCTCAGGTGCCTCTCCATCTTGCCCTCTGGCTCTAAGGCAGCTGGTTCAGGAATATGTCTTTATGCTGTGGAATGCCAGGACCCCAACAGCACTCTGTTCATCTGTAAGTCCCCAAACACAGTGTTCTTTTGGACATACTTTGAAGAGCTAACAAGTAAGTTAGAGCGGTCATTTATGGTTAGAAAAGCTATCTTTCCCCAAGAATTTCAAGGATTTTACCAACATATCTAGTGACTTGTTCACTCTTTGAGGACAGGTCTGTGTTTTATGCGTATCTCCTGGACGGTACTTTGAACCATAATGGATGATCAGCCCATGTCTGTTGCATGACTACAGTGATTTTTTTTTTTTTTTTTTTTGAGATGGAGTCTCGCTCTGTTGCCCAGGCTGGAGTGTAGCGGCGCCATCTCTGCTCACAGCAACTTCTGCCTCCCAGGTTCAAGCAATTCTCCAGCCTCAGCCTCCCGAGTAGCTGAGGGAGAAATCCCAAGTAATCCCACCCACAGATTAAACTGTACTCAAAAGAAGTAGATTGCACATCAGCGAACACCATTGCTCCAAGTTATGTACAACAGGGAAGGGTGATAGAGATTTTATGCGCATAGAAAATGTATGGAAGGGCCAGGCCCAGGGGGTCACGCCTGTAATCCCAGCACTTTGGGATTACAGGCACATGCCACCATGCCCAGGTAATTTTTGTAATTTTTTTAGTAGAGACAGGGTTTTACCATATTGCTCAAGCTGGGACGACAATGATTTTTACTTTGAAAACAAAATACTTCTTGAGGACACCTTTGGGGATCAGCCTCTCAGCAGCTGGGCAGGTCTCCTTTCTGCTCTCCCAACACTCACATAATTGCCGTCAACCCTAGAGAAGCGCTTCTGCCCAGATGCACACCCTTGGTGCCCTGTCCCCTGGGCTGCCCTGGGGCTCTGCTTGCACTCCCAAGCAGGGCCTGCTCAAAGAACGAACTGCAAAATGTGGGGCTTAACACAACAGAAATATGGTCTCTGAGAGTCCTGGAGGCCAGAAGTACAAAACCAAGGCATCAGCAGAAGCCGGTTCTCCCTGAAGCTCCGGGGGAGGCTCAGTCCTGGCCTGCTCCGAGAGTCTGATGGTTGGTTAGCAGCAACCCTTGGTTATTTGGCTCGAAGATAAATGACTCCAATTCTGTCTCTGTTGCAATGTGGCTGTCTTTTCTCTGTGCATCTCTTTGTGTGCAGATTTCCCTCTTATAAGGACAGCAGCCACATTGGACTAAGGGCGCACCCTAATGATATCATTTTATTTATTTATTTTTTTGAGACAGAGTCGCACTCTGTCACCCAGGCTGGAGTGCAGTGGCATGATCTCCGCTCACTGCAACCTCCATCCCCCGGGTTCAAGCAATTCTCCTGCCTCAGCCTCCCGAGTAGCTAGGATTACAGGCATGCACCACCAAACCTGGCTAATATTTGTATTTTTAGTAGAGACAGGGTTTTACCATGTTGATCAGACTGGTCTCGAACTCCTGACCTCAGGTAATTTGCTCACCTCGGCCTCCCAAAGTACTGGGATTACAGGTGTGAGCCACTGTGCCTGGCCAATGATCTCGTTTTAACTCCCTATTTCCAAATAAGGTCACATTCACAGGTACAGGGATTAGGACTTCAACATATCTTTTTGGGGGATGCAAGTCAACTTGTAACACCCCAAAGGCTCTTTAAGGTCTAGAGAACTCTGCCTCCCCTGAGGGGGCTGACCAGGTATCCCTGGGGCCGAGGGGTGAAAGGCCACCGGGCCTCAGTTCCCTAGAACAGAGCTGGGCACTGTTGTCACCTGGACCAAGCCCATGGGCCTGTCCTCTCTTAGTTGTTCTTTCACAGCGATGGCCCTGCTGGCCCTCCCCTTTCTGGCTCACTCCTCTCTGGCCCTCCCAGGCAGCCCTCAGGAACCTCTCTAGGCCCAAGACTTGGGGTTGGCCTGGCCAGGGCAGAGGAGCAAGCACACCAGAGCGGGTCATCTTTCCAGAACACACTTCAAGCACAATGGCTTTTTAATATCTAAAACCTCGAGTCTGAGTTCCTCTGCTGACCTCAAGGCACCTGCTCTTTCCACTTGCCCCACTGCTCCTCCCTGTGCCAGCCCCTTCTGGTCTCATCAGGGCCTTTCCCTCTGGGTTCGAAGAGATTAGGGTCCATCTTGCCTTATTTGTTAAATGCTCTTCTCTCCTTCTTTCTGGCTTTGCAAACCATACCTATCTTACGAAGCCCAGTTCTAGACCCCTCCTTGTAAAGCAGACTTTCTTTTTGAGAGGAGCTTTGCAGGTTCACAGCAAAATCAAGCAGCAAGTACCTTCCTCAGGTGCTTAAACACTGATCATCCTGTCCGACATGCCTCCTTACCGAACATATGATTTTCATTTGTTTAAACTGGGACATTAAAAAAACATAAAAGGCTGGGCGTGGTTGCTCACGCCTGTATTCCCAGCACTTTGGGAGGCTGAGGCAGGCAGATCACCTGAGGTCAGAAGTTCGAGACTAGCCTGGCTAACATGGTGAAACCCCATCTCCACTAAAAATACAAAAATTAGCTGAATGTGGTGACAGGCACCTGTAATCCCAGCTACTCGGGAGGCTGAGGCAGGAGAATCGCTTGAACCCAGGAGGCAGAGGTTGCAGGAAGCCGAGATCGCACCATTGCTCTCCAACCTGGGCGACAAGAGTGAAACTCCGTCTAGAAAAAATGTCAGAAAACATAAAAGAATTAACTGAGAAGAATGAAATCCACACAATGAGATAAGTTGCATGGCAAGTTTTACTGAATGCATGTTTTACTTAGACATACCAGATATTACAAATAATGTCATAAATGACTGTGTGTTTCAGGTGTAAATTCTAGAGTCTCATCACTGGGAGCACACAGCAGGCAATGGTCATGAAAACATCTCTATCCAGGTCCTCTGGGGATCGTCCTCTCCCTTTAGAGCCTGGTGGCTTGTCACTCCGTGGTCCTCTCCTGGGCGCCACACCAGTGCACAAATGCTGCACAGATTCCTGCGGGTGCACATGGAACCTGGGCTCACGATCAAAGAGAATTCTCAGCCTGTCTACCAGTGTTCAAAGTTCAGACTTCAGACTACCAAGTTTTCATCAACTGTTATTTCCATAACTCCCGCTATTTCTCTTTTTTTCTTGCAAGAAGAGACTTCACAATCTACACAAATTTAGAGGTGTGACTCTTCAATTCTGCAAAATTCTTAACTCCTGCCAGTTCTGGAAATCCTTGTGGTCTCAGCAGAATTCTGGAGCTTTCTTACTTCATGCCCACGTACCTACATGTGGACTACAAGGACTTCTGTTATCTCAGGCTGATTTACCTTTTCCCTAGATCATCAATAGCACAGCTTAAAACACTGTCTCAGCCTGGCATGGTGGCTCATGCCTGTAATCCCAGCACTTCGAGAGGCCAAGGTGGGTGGATTGCTTGAGCCCAGGAGTTTGAGACCAGCCTGGGCAACATGGCAAAACACCAAAATATAAAAATTAGCCAGTCTCATAACCTGGTCTCAAAATAAATAAATAGATAAAAATTTAAAAAAGTATTTTAAAAAATCACCATCTCTACCAGTTCCCACCAGTTCCCAACAAAATCAATTTCACCTACTTAATCTTCCTGTTTATTAATGTTCAACCTATTTGATTTGCTTAGAACTGTAGCATTTTCCATGCAAGTTTTCATTTATGTCAAAGATTTAAAGTGATACAGGCAACAATAATTTTAGAGAAATCTCATTGCTTTATTACTACTAACAGTATTTAAAATTTTTAGGCTCAAGTTTAAAAATCCTTACTATTGATGGATTACTTTTTAAGTTAGGAGTTCCTTTAGAGATACTGTGGTTTGAGGCACTGATTTCATGGAACTTTATGTGCTGAGTGGTTATACAGGCTCATGTAGGACTGAAGCCCTAGCTTCCTGTAGAGACCCCGTCTGCAACTACAATGCCAGCTCCGAAATGGCATTTGCATGAACAATTTCCATACAGGATTCCCTTTAGTGAGCTCTTATTTTGTTAAAGTTGCCTTATGTTCTCTTAATAACATTAGTTATCATTAATAAAATGGAGAAGGTGCTTTCAGAGCATCTTGGTAAGGGGTGTTTTCTTTTATCCTAACATAAACCACTTTGGCAAAAAAGCATGGGAACAAATCAGTTTCATGCTGGATATTCAGAGAATATGAAACATCCAGGCATGCAAGAATGCAACAATCCGGCCGGGCGCGGTGGCTCACGCCTGTAATCCCAGCACTTCGGGAGGCCGAGGTGGGCAGATCACGAGGTCAGGAGATCGAGACCATCCTGGCTAACACGGTGAAACCCCGTTTCTACTAAAAATACAAAAAAATAGCTGGGCGTGGTGGTGGGCACCTGTAGTCCCAGCTACTCGGGAAGCTGAGGCAGGAGAATATGGCATGAACCTGGGAGGTGGAGCTTGCAGTGAGCCGAGATCGCACCACTGCACTCCAGCCTGGGCGACAGAGCAAGACTCCGTCTCAAAAAAAAAGAATGTAACAATCCCTCCAACTCTTCATTTTCATGGAAGTTTCAGAGCATCTCATGGGTTTCCTTAAACTTGCGGGTGCGAAGACCCTTCAGAGCTTACATTTAGGTATGAACTTGTCACTCTCCTCCCAGGCTTATAAGAGAGAGTTAGCAGAGTGAGGTAATTGGAAGACAAGGTGCTGACAACTGGATCTCAGGACAAGCCCATCCTGGTGCCTGGCCTGATTCTAACTGATCTCTGGGCATCTGTGGGGCCTGGAGAAAGAAAATGGCACAGGGCACCGGATTTGGTGGGAGCTGACACAGGAGCAATAAATTCCATTCCCCTGTTCATGTTTTGGTGTGGGGTTGGCTTCTGGAAAAAACAAACAAACAAACAAACAAAGTGGGTTAAAAGGTGGAAAGATGGTGATCAATAAGCTACTAATTTGTTCTCACATTTATTCTGAGGCTACTAAGTAGCTGTCAGACACATGAAATAGCCTAAAGATTATAGACAAAGATATTTTGGAAATTTTGGCAACATATGCTTTTAGAATTAGTTGGTTCCATAATTTTAAAACACATCATTTTAATTTTTATTAGCTTTATTGAGCTATCATTCACATGTAATACACGAATTCAAGGTTTACAGTGGTTTTCAGTATATTCAAGGAAATGTGCACCCAATACCACCGTCAGTTTTAGAACTTTGTCGTTATCCCCCAGAGAAATCCTGTACCCACTAGCGGTCACTCCCCATTTCTCCCTAAGTTTCCCCAGGCAACCACTAATCTACGTTCTACCTCTATGGATTTGCCAATCTGGACATTTCATATAAATAGAATCATACATGTAGTATTTTGTGACTGAATTCTTTCACTCAGCATGATGTTTTCAAGGTCCGACTATGTTGTAGCATGAATCAACCTCATTCCTTTTAATTGCCCAGTAATAGTTCATCATATGGGTAGACCATGAATTATTTATCTATTCATCATTTGGTGGACATTTGGGTTGTTTCCATTTTTTGAGTAATATGAATAATGCTGCTGTGAATATATTTGTGTACAGAGCTTTCATGTGGACACCTGTTTTCACTTTTTTGAGTATATACCTAGAAGTAGAATTGCTGGGTCATTATGTTAAGTGAAATCAATCAGGTGCAGAAAGATAAGTATCACATATTCCCCTTATACGTGGAAGCTAAAAAGAAAATTTGAGCCCCTGGAAATAGAGAGTAGAACACTGAGTCTTAGGGCCTGGGAAGAGTGGTGAGGAGGAGACTATGGGGAGAGGTTGGTTAATGAATACGAAATGACAGCTAGATAGGAGAAATGAGTTCTGGTGTTCTGCAGCACCGTAGGGTGAAGACGGTTAACTGTAATTTATTGTATATTCTCAACAAACTAGAAGAGAGGGTTTTGAATGTTTATGGCACAAAGAAATGATAAATATTTCAGGTGATAATATGCTGATTACCATGATTTGATCATTATACATTGTATACATGTATGGAAATATCATTCTGTATCACATAAATATTATGTGCCAACTAAAAGTAAAAGGGAAAATATCTAGTAACTGTTTAATATTTTGAGGAAGTGTCAAAGTGGCTGGCACCATCCTGTATTTCCACTGGCAATGGATGAGGGTGTCAATTTCTCCACATCCTCGCCAGCCAGCACTTGTTATTACTTGCCTTTTTAGTTATAGCCATCCTAGTGGGGATGAAGTGGTTTTAATTCTGGCTTTGATTTGCATATCTCAAATGGCTAATGATGTTGAGTATCTCTTCATGTACACACTGGCTATTTGTAATCTTTTCTGGAGACATGTCTATTCATATTCTTTGCCCATCAAAAACATTGTGTTATTTATTGAGTTTTAAGAATTCTATATTTTGGATATAAGTCCCTTATCAGATATGATTTGCAAATATTTTCTCCCATTCTGCAGGTTGCTTTACACTTTCTCGATGATACATTTTGTAGCAAAAAGATTTTAATTTTGATGAAGTCCAATTTATCTATTTTTTCATTTGTCATTTGTATAGTTCCAACATTTTGAAAGAAATATCTAGCTCTTCAAGGTAGAGGTGAAAGAGTTTCAACTTATAGATCTGATGGGAAGTTCATTATTAATGCCACACTTAGAAGATGAGGAAATAAGATACTTAGAAGCAAGAAATAAGAAAACAGCAATGGAAATTAAAACAAAAAATTACTGGCTAACTTCAGTTGACTACAAAGATCTCTGTCAGTCATGGTCCAGGCCGGAAGCAGGTGGAATATTCAGACGGGCTGACTGGGGAGAACTTAATCAAGGGCTTTTTCTATAGAGGTATTGATAGTGCAAGGAAACCAGGCATTACGATGAAGCCCCTAGGACTGGCAATGCTTCAAGGTTGCTATCCCAGTGTGGTGAACAGGGAGGGAGCAGGTACTGAAAGCTAGTGAAGTGGGAGAGTTCCCTGATTCCCCCTGCAGCACATGGAACAAGGGTGTGGCTCACCTGCTTGGTTGCCCTGCAGCTCAAACCCCTAGGGGAGCATGTAGACTGGCAGGTGCAGAGGACTGGATGAATGCTTTGGGCTCTCGGCCCCATAGCAGTGTCTTGGGATGGGTGTCTGCAACTCCCAGGCAGGCACATGTAACCCAAGCTCTTTCGGATTTGCCATCTGCAGATGGCTTATGTGCCAATCAGCTCAATGAACCCTCTGCCTTATTGCAAGAGCAGAGGGCCAGTGTGACAGCCTCTGTATCCTGAGCTCTGGCCCAGTGTCTCAGAAGAATCGGATCACACATGGGCTCCAATGATGAGTGCAAGTTTTTACTGAGTAGTGGAGGCGATGCTCAGCGAGATGGATGGGGAGCCAGAAGGTGGAGGGGTGAGGGAAGTAATCTTTCCCTGGAGTCAGGCTGCCCAGCAGCTGGACCCTTCTCTAACCACCCCGGCCGACCTTCCCTCAGCATCCGGACGTCCCTCTTTTTTTCCTCTGCTGCATCGTTCTGCTGTCACTGGTCTGCTGGTCTCGACATTCAGCTGCTTGTGTGCATACCCACTAAGGTCTCGGGTTTATATGGGTACAGGATAGGGGGGTTGGTTGGCCCGAGTGGTCTTGGAAAATGCAACATTCGGGCATGAAAACAGGAGTGCCTGTTCTCACTTAGGTGTGCGGCGCAGGCTTGAGGGTGGAGCCCTCACCAGGGACCTGGCCCTTCTCTACCCAGCACTTCCCTGCCCAACTCCCATGTCACTAGTTATAGGGAAGGGCTGTTTGGAGAAAGCCACGGCTTTTGCTAGAGGAATATGGCTGCTGCCCATCTATAGTCTGGCAAGGAGGATGCTGGAGGAATCATACCTCCAACTCTCTTTCTTCTCACTCTGTCATCTCCTGCCCATGCCATCTTAGCCGAACCCAACTCACACCAGGAAAAAGGTGGCCTAGTTGATACAGTCCACAAGGCCAGCCTCTGGGGCCACAGAACAAGGCGGAGAAGAATGAGGGGTGGATTGTGGAGCAGAAGGAGAACATCCAGTGAAGCCACTAGGTGGTGAGTCAGACACTTTGTCCTTTTGGTGGGGGAGGAATTTACACTGAAGATAATTCCCTCATCTTGTTTTTTAACTAGCCCCGCCCCATTGCTGTCCCTTTACCCAGAAATACTTGTCCCTCATACTACGTAAAATGTGATCTCTCACAAGGCTCGGCTCAGAAGCCACCTTCTTCCTGCTGCCATTCCTCAAAATTTGCTCAGAAGTGATCTCCCTCCTCGGCAGTTGTATTAGTCAGGGTTCCCCAGAGCAACAGAACTAATAGGATATATATATAATATTACATGAAGGGGAGTTTATTAAGTAATAACTCACATGTTCACAAGGCTCCACAATAGGCTGTCTGGAAGCTGAGGAGCAAGGAGAGCCAGTCCGAGTCCCAAAACTGAAGAATTCAGAGTCTGATGTTCAAGGGCAGGAAGCATCGAGCACGGGAGAAAGATGTAGGCTGGGAGGCTAGGCCAGTCTAGTCTTTTCACATTTTTCTGCCTGCTCTATATTCGAGCTGTGCTGGCAGCTGATTAGATGGTGCCCACCCAGATTAAGGGTGGGTCTGCCTTCCCCAGGCCACGGACTCAAATGTCCATCTCCTTTGGCAACACCCTCACCTACACACCCAGGATCAATACTTTGCATCTTTCAATCCGATCAAGTTGACAGACTTAACCATCACAGAAGTCTTCCTTGTGGATCAAACTGCCCACAAAGTGATTCTACCTTTTATTGTTATTTACAGATACCCCATATGACTCTCACTGTGCAATAAAGTCCAGACGGAACCGTTTTTATTTATCTTTGTACGTCTTGCAGAACCTGCACAGTTTCCTGATGTTACACAGTGCCTCAGCTCAGATTGATGAAAGAATGGATTTGGGATCAGCCATTACTGAGTCTTCTTGGAATCTGCTAGTTGGAAGGGTCCTCAGATTTACTTCCAGTTTTACCTTAGCTATTTCAAGTTCCTACTCAGCAAAGCCTCTCCCTCCAGGTGGGGGACACTGTTGGTAGCCCACTCAGCATTTCTCCTTCTTCCTCGAACACAGCCCTGACTTTTTTCCAGCCTCCACCCTCCACTAAGTGGCCAAGTACCAGAGGGAAAGCTTATCCTAGGCTGAAATAATGTCAGGATAATATGTTCCCTTTTGTCAAGAATTGGTTTAGAAATGGAAATGTGACCAAGTTGTGGCTGCAGAGCCTCGAGGAGAGATTTGCTTGTGATTTCCAAGGAAGTCCTTCCTCCCTCCTTAGAAAGTGCAGTTGTTATTGGCAGCCACTTGACACCTAGGAGGAGAGCCAATTTCAAGATGAAGATGTCAAATATAGATTGTGGGCTGGGATTTGAAAATCTAGGATGTTGCTAACATCATTGAGGGTAACCTAAAGTCTGCTTTATCTCTGAAATTCTCTTTTTATGAAAAAGTATATTTCCTTTTTGGAAAGACCTTTGAGTTGGGGTTTCTGTTACTCCGTATCTGAAAGGAGGCCCATACACCCTGCCATTGTTTTCCTCTTCAACTCTGCTGATATAGAAGCCAATATATAATTGAAGAGTTCTATGAATGTTTAGACTAGCTCTGTGCCCAGGAATGTAAGAATGGTTTGTAACAGAGACCCTGGCAAGCCTGAAACATTATATCTCATTTTACTAGCAGCTAGTACTCTGGGGAATGGGAGTTAGTAGTGTATTTATTCTAGAATCTTGTTGATGTGCTGCCTCTTGTCCCTTACATTGGGCCTGATTATTTTTTTTTCAGAATAGTGTCTGTAAAATGTGAAAGGTATTTTCTATTCCACACACATGAAAACCCCTTTGCTTCCTCAAGGTAAGAATGGGCCTTTAGCTCTGATCCCAGGGTAGATCAGCAACAATATTTGCCAAAACAAAGCCATGTTTCCCAAAGAGGCCTTTCCACCCAGCACTCTTAGCAGGACCTGATGCTTCACACTAGGGAGGCAATAGGGCTGTTTATACAGCAAATGGACAAGCCATATTCACAGTGAGATTTGTTTTGCCTTTCCTTGCAATTTGTTTATTTCCTGAGACGGAGTCTTGCCCTGTCACCCAGGCTGGAGTGTAGAGGTGCGATCGTGGCTCACTGCAATGTCCACCTCCCAGGTGTTCAAGCGATTCTCCTGCCTCAGCCTCCCTGAGTAGCTGGGACTACAGGGACGTACCACCACGCCTGGCTAATTATTGCATTTTTAGTAGAGACGGGGTTTCTCTATGTTGGCCAGGCTGGTCTCGAACTCCTGACCTCAGGTATCTACCTGACTTGGCCTCCGAAAATGCTGGAATTACAGGCATGAGCCACTGAGCCACCGCAATTTAGATGGGAAGTCAAGCCAGCTCTTAAGTAAAGTCCATGCTGAGTGATTACTGGAGTCACTTCGGCAGGCAAGGGGAGTGGGCCTATTATTATTATTATTATTTTGAGATGGAGTCTCACTGTGTCGCCTGGGCTGGAGTGCAGTGGCGTGATCTCAGCTCACTGCAACCTCCGTCTCCCAGGTTCAAACGATTCTCCTGCCTCAGCTTCCCGAGTAGCTGGGACCACAGGCGCGCACCACCATGCCAGCTAATATTTTTGTATTTTTAGTGGAGACGAGGTTTCACCATGTTGGCCAGGATGGTCTTGACATCTTAACCTCGTGATCCCCCTGCCTCGGCCTCCCAGTAGTGCTGGGATTACAGGCGTGAGCCACCACCACAGCCCGGGGCTCATTATTGGCAGAATTTCTGGTGACCTAATTAGCGATTTCCAAGTACTTGTCTTTCTGGGTTGAAGGATCTCATTTTCCTCCATCTATTTCTTTAAGTAGGAATGGACAAAGCCTTGTAATTGGCGTTTGAGAGGGAGTGAGGTAATACGCTGGAAGTAAAGGCAGGGATTGAGGGCCATTTTATTGGGCGCCTGTGGCTGAAGAATTGAAAAAAAAAAAAATCAATTAGGAAAGGGAGAAAACTAGGGGTTTGGAGCCAGGAAAGAAGGAAGAAAAATGTATTAAGAGGAAGAAAGAATATAGCAATACGAAAGAGAGTTAAGTGTCAGGCTCACCTGGGTATGATTAAAGAAACATATTTAACATTAAAGAAATATATTTAAACCCGTTACCACAAATAAACATATTTGTGGTAACAGACAAAAAATACATTTATTGGTGGTTCCTAAGTGAAAATATCCTGCAGGACTTTTTTCAAGGTTGGTCAAAAAAACTCAAAGAAAAAGATTTTTCGAGTCATGTTTTTCTAAAGGCTGTGGTCTTCTGATCAATCAGATAAGAAGCATTTATTGCCTAAAATCAAGTAGGAAGGATCTGTTCTGTTTCTGAAGTCCTATAGTTGCATAAAACTGACCTCCTAAGCAATTCTTCCTTGTCTCTTTTTAACCAATAAATCTACATTCTAGATTGAAATTGACCATTGCTTCCAGACATGTGTGGGAGTCCAGAATATGCCACTCCAAAAGAAGGATTGTTGAGCTGAAGACCATTAAGAAGAAACAGATGCAGAAAAGCTCGCTGCCCTGCATTTGCTTAAATACAGGACAGAGATTTACAAAGATAAAAGGCATCCTGCCCCTGTCTCTTACCGGGGAGAACAAAGGTTAACCACTGAAGACAGTTTTAGACCATTATCTGCCAGGAGTTGGAGCCAGAGGAATCTACCTGAACATGCATTACCAACTCGCCTTTATCTGCCAGTTACTTGCTTCCCTGCTGACAAGCCCCCTCTAGAGACCCAAAGTCCTTTTCCTTTGTCCTGTCACTTCTCTAAAAATCACTATTCTTTGTTGAAGATGCTATACAAGCTGGAGTTCAAAGCTACTTCTTTGAGAACTACTCCTTCCCTGGGTGTCTGCCGTGTAGATGTGAAATATACATGTAAATAAACTTGTTTTCTCTTGTTAATCTTTTTTTTTTCTTTCTTTTTTTTAATGGGGTCTATTCCAACTAAGAACCTTATGAAGTGGCCAGACACAGTGGTTCACGCCTGTCATCCCACCACTTTGGGAGGCCAAGGCAGATGGATCACCTGAGGTCAGGAGTTCGAGACCAGCCCGGGCAACATGACGATATCCTGTCTCTACTAAAAATATAAAAATTAGCTGGCATGGTGGTAGGTGCCTGTAATCCCAGCTCCTTGGGAGGCTGAGGCAGGAGAATCACTTGAACCTGGGAGGTGGAGTTTGCAGTGATGCAGTGAGCTGAGATCATGCCACTATATTCCAGCCTGGGCAACAGAGCAAGACTGTTTTGTTGTTGTTGTTGTTGTTGTTGTTGTTGTTTTGTTTTTTAAAAAGACCTATGAGGATTGAGGAAACAATTATTTTTCTTCCCCTACACATGATTTTGTGCCTGCTGCACAATTTTTTTTTGTTTGTAATATCAATGTTTCTCAAAGTGGTCTGTGAGCTACCAACTTCAGAATCACCTGGGATGCTTGTTAAAAAGTATATGTTGTAGGCTCCACACCAGCTGCAATGGTCCAGCATCTCCAGAGACGAGGTATTTTTAACAGTATCTTAGATTTTATTAAATTCTAATGTTGAGAAACAGTGGTCTAGATTTTAAGACAAGATCCATGTCATTTATTTTTGTTCCCTTCTGATGCCTAGCACATAGAAGGCACTTGATAAATATTTTTTGGAGAGATGAATCTAAGAAAAGTGAAACTGTCTAAAAACTTGCTCTGAATTTCTGTACTGTCCTGTCCCTACCTATCTGCAGAGTGAGCCTTACCTGTCTGTTCACAATCTTCTGCATGTTGGGATTTGTGGTGGTGACAGTGGGTGCAGCAATGTGAAAGGCATTAGCAGCGTGTCTTGCCCAGATGATTCCTGCAGGAGGAACATGGCTGGGCTTCCATCTGTGTAAGCCTCGTTCTCAGGCCATTCTGTTCATCCTATAAACTACCCGGATCATTTCAAGAAATTACTTTTCTATTAGTTCACCAGTGTAGTCAGGATCTGGCCAAGAGACAGTATACACACAAGTTATTTGAACAGTAAGAACTTCATATAAAAAGTGTTAACTCGGTAAAAATGTGTTCATTATAAAGTTATAACAGGATAAAAAGAGAACTCTAAGGTCTCATAGACGTAGCAACTGCAGCTTCCACTCCCATGGTTAAAGAAACAATAAGAAAGGGGAACAAGTAGGAGCTTAGAGGTGGGGCACCTGGAGCTCAAACTCAGACCTTCAAGGTGGGAGCTCTGCACTGGTTCTGGTGAATATGAGATGGGCCATATGAGGTCGGGTCTGCAAGGGCTGGAAAAACTGCAAATTGCAAACTACATTCAGAAGCTTCTGCAGAAAGGAAGTGCTGCTGCCAGGGTGAAGAAGCATTGCTAGGGTGATACAGTGAGCAGACAGGAGGAAACTCATCCTTTCCTTCTCCTCTAGCCTTGCAGTCTCCCTTTCGCTCCCTTTATTGCCAAAGGCCAACCTGGGTCCAGCTGGCAAAGCAAAACTCAGTTGTAGCTGCCCCGACATCACAAAGCTGAGCATAGAAGGGAGGAGGTGGAGCTGAGACATCCATGGCTTAATGATGGGCACAGCCAGGTAGCTCACTATTGCTCACTGTCTTGGATGCTTTTATTCCACTATTCTCCTCTGAACACCTTGTAATTTGGTCTTAATTCCTGAGATGATTTCGTCTTTTCTTTCGGTTTCTTTTCTGATCTAAATAAATTGTTTTACATCTCCTTTTTGTCTGTTTCTGTTAGGAGTTTTTGTTTGTTTGTTTGTTTTTGAGACAGGGTCTCACTTTGTCACCCAGGCTGGAGCACAGTGGTGCCATCTTGGCTCACTGCAGCCTTGACCTCCTGGGTTCAAGCAATTCTCCTGCCTCAGCCCCCACAAGTAGCTGTGACTACAGGTGTGCGCCACCATGCCTGGCTAATTTTTGTATTTTTAGTAGAAATGGGGTTTCAACTTGTTGGCCAGGCTGGTCTTGAACTCCTGACCTCAGGTGATCCACCCAACTTGGCCTCCCAAAGAGCTGAGAGTACAGGCGTGAGCCACCATGCTCAGCCTCTATTAGGAGGTTTTTAATTCATGGTATTTTATTTTTTGTATGTGTGTATATACATTGCTGCTAGTTTAATTATATTTAATTCATGTTGAAGCATGTGCTATATAGTTTTTCTCTGCCTTATTTTGGAAATATTTTTATTGGTGGAAAAATTTGGATTCTTCCTGTTTTCTTCTTGTAGTAACTTCCTATGGTGGTTGCCTGCCTTCTTCTGTTCATTTTAAAGTGTCTTGGAATTATTTTTAAAATTTCAATAGGTTTTTGGGGAACAGGCAGTGTTGGTTACATGAATAAGTTCTTAAGTGGTGATTTCTGATATTTTGCTGCACCCATCACCTGAGCAGGGTACATTGTACCCAATGTGTAGTCTTATATTCCTCACCCGCTTCCCACCCTTTCCCTTGAGTCCCCAAAGTCCATTGTATCATTATGCCTTTGCACCCTCATAGTTTAGCTCCCACTTGTAAGTGAGAACATAGGCTGTTTGGTTTTTCCATTCCTGAGTTACTTCACTTAGAATAATGATCCTTAGGCCAGGCGTGGTGGCTCATGCCTGTAATCCCAGCATTGTGGGAGGCCGAGGTGGGCAGATCACTTGAGGTCAGGAGTTGGAGACCAGCCTGGCCAACATGGTAAAACCCATCTCTACTAAAAATACAAAAATTAGCTGGGTGTGCTGGCAGGCGCCTATAATTCTAGCTACTTGGGAGGCTGAGGCAGGAGAATTGCTTGACCCTGGGAGGCGGATGTTGCAGTGAGCTGAGATTGCGCCCACTCCAGTCTGGGCAACAGAGCGAGACTCAATCTCAAAAAAAGAAGAAGAAGAAGAAAAAGAATAACGGTCCCTAATTCCATCCAGGTTGTTGTGAATGTCATTATTTCATTCCTTTTTATGGCTGAGTAGTATTCCATGGGATACATACATCACAATTTCTTTATCAAATCATTGATGGGCATTGGGTTTGGTTCCATATTTATGCAACTGGGAATTGTGCTGTTATAAACGTGTGTGTGCAAGTATCTTTTTCACATAGTGACTTCTTTTCTTCTGCCAATAACTACCATCAAATGGTAGTTCTGTAAAGTGTCTTGAATTTTTCTTGATCAGTCACTAACACCTGTGTCTGTGGAGTGAGTGAGAGATTTGAATGACTGATGAGGTTTCTTAGTTTAAGGATGCTCTCTCCCGTTGGTACAGTGAAGTACAGGTTCTTTAACAAATGACTTATTTTCTGGTGCCTGGGAAGGTCAGTGTATTTCTAGTTTTATGACTTCTTTGTTTCTGTGGGATCCATAATTTCCACTGCTTGATTTTCTCTTTTCACTCCAACAGATGCCTCCTCTTCCAAATTCTCACTCAGAAGTGGTGCCTTCCTAATGCTGCCTCCTGAATCCTGTACACTCACCAGTACCTTTCTTCCTTTTGATTCTTTTTTTTTTTTTTTTTAAGATAGAGTCTCACTCTGTTGCCCAGGCTGGAGTACAGTGGCATGATCTCAGCTCATTGCAGCCTCTGCCTCCCAGGTTCAAGCGATTTTTGGCCAATGTTTGTATTTTTAGTGGGGATGGGGTTTCACCATGTTGACCAGGCTGGTCTCGAACTCCTGGCCTCCCAAAGTGCTGGGATTACAGGCATGAGCCACTGAGCCTGGCCTCCTTTTGATTCTTTAGTAGCCAGATCAGCGTGATCTCAGAGCTCTTCTGAAACTTCCCCTATCCTGAGCAAGACCCTTTCATTCTGGGTGTGATGTTTTATCTGTGTTCTGCCACCACTAGGAACCTGACTTCCCTCTTCTCATTTCTGTGTGTTCTCATCTGACTCTGCTTCAGTGTGGGCTCTGGGGTTGGGTCTGCCGGTGTTGTACCTTTATTTCCTCTCTTGCACGTAGATTGACATTTGTGGCGTTCTCTTTGTGATGATGTCGACATGCCTTTTTGGATAGTTTCATTTGCTTTTCTTGTTGATCTTTATGCCTTTTGGAGAATAAATGGAGAATTTCAGACTTAAGAAGTAGCCATTATCCTATAGGAATCTAGAAAGGATGACTCTTTTAAAAATATATTACTTTTCTAACTGTGGCTGGTAGATAGACATGTAATTGAGTTCACATACTTATTTTGTATCCAACAGCCTTGATAAATGTTAAAATTAATACAACAGTTTATCTTTAGATTATTTGGGGAATTTTTAGGCAGACAATTACATCATCAGTGAATAAAGGCAGTTTTGTTTTTTCTTTTCCAATTCCTAAAACTCTTGTTTCTTTTTCTTGCCTTACTGCCCTGACCAGGATTTTTGGTACAATTGTGAATAAAAATGTTGATAGCAGGAATCCTTGACTTTTATTTTTTATTTTTTGAGATGAAGTCTTATTCTGTTGCCTAGACTGAAGTGCAGTGGCATGATCTTGGCTCACTGTAACCTCTACCTCCTGGGTTCAAGCAGTTCTCATGTTTCAGCCTCCCGAGTAGCTGGGATTACAGAGATGCACCACCACGCCTGGCTAGTTTTTGTATTTTTAGTAGAGATGGGGCTTCACTATGTTGGCTAGGCTGGTCTCAAACTCCTGACGTCAAGTGGCTAGTTTTTGTATTTTTAGTAGAGATGGGGCTTCACTATGTTGGCTAGGCTGGTCTCAAACTCCTGATGTCAAGTGATCCACCCGCGTTGGCCTCCCAGAGTGGCTAGGTTTACAGGTCTGAGCCACCGCGACCCACCCTTAACTTATTATTATCAATCCTAGAGATAATGCCTTCAACATTTTCGGATTAAATATAATGGTTGCTGTAGATGCCCTTTATCTTATTTTCACATTTTAAAAGAAGAATTTAATGGCGAATGAATACTGAATTTTATGAAG